CCCTGGCTGCTCAGACAATTTCTTTGTATTCCTCCCAGGCTACCTGTCCTTGCTTCCACCCTCTGTAGCCTTCCTTTTTGTGTTTGAGTGTGTCCAGGAGCTCCTTGTTCATCCATGCAGGCCTCCTGGTATTTTTCCCTGACTTCCTCTTTGTTGGGATGCGTTGCTCCTGAGCTTGAAGGAGGTGATCCTTGAATATTACCCAGCTTTCCTGGGCCCCTCTTCCCTCCAGGGCTTTGTCCCATGGCACGCTACCAAGCAGATCCCTGAAGAGGCCAAAGTCTGCTCTCCCGAAGACCAGCGTAGTGAGCTTGCTGTGCGCCCTCCTCGGTGCCCTAAGGATCTTGAACTCCACCATTTTGTGGTCACTGCAGCCCAGGCTGCCCTTGAGCTTCACATTCCCCACCAGCCCCTCCTTGTTGGTGAGAACAACGTCCAGCATCGCACCTCTCCTCGTTGGCTCCTCTGCCACTTGGAGAAGGAAGTTATCATCGACAGATGATCTGATAGATCCTTCAGAAAACACCATTTTCCAAGGTTACAGATACTTATAGTTATGGATTAACACCAAAAGCTTGACAATTACAAAAAAAAAAAAAAAGAGCCTATGAAAAGAACAGTAATAAACATTCTTTCTGTTTTATCAGACATACGTACCATGTCTGTTAGTGAGCATAGTGTTAGGAATTATTTTAGCTGTTATCGCAAGACATTGCTATATACCAACATTTTAAAAATCTTCTCTATTTTTCAAGTAGAATCAACTGATTTATTATTTACACCAGAACTGTATATAAATTACATCCTAACACTCAGGAAAAAAAGCTTACAGAACTGACTGTCAGTGCTGTATATTGTATGTCAATAATTAACTTTTTTTCTTTTTTTACTTTTGGGCAATGTTGGTGGGGGATTTTGTTTCACTTTATCCAAATTTATTTTATTCACTCAAATTTATTTTATTCACTCAAATTCTTTGGCGAGAGCCATCTGAATGCTTCTCCACATGTGGCACTTCTAAATAATTCAGTCATCTGATCGGGAGAAAGCATCCAGAAATCTTTTCTGAAGAAAATGAGTTTCTGGTTTAAGAAGAAGTGGTAGACATAGAACCCAGCTGTGTTGGAAGCCTGTTTCCTGCCTAGTTCCATTCAGCACTATAAAATTCACAGTTTCACAGCCTCCAAGTTCACAGATACTTTTAAATAAACAAGGAAATAACAGCACAAATGCTTATGTGCAGGGTGCAATATTACCATGTTACTGTAATCTGAAGGATCGTATGTTCTCTTTCTGAAAACTTCACAGCTTTCCAGAAACTCTTCATTCATTCTGCAGACCTGCTCACTTAAAATTTTCCCCTTGAGTCCATCAAACTCCAGCTTTTCCAGCTTTTGGAATTCCAACATGTTAATGAAAATTTCCTAGATCAAATGAATAAAAATTAATTAACAGTCTGCCTCTATAAAAACCAGTAACAAACCTGATGTTTGAGATGGTTTTTGCCTCATTTGACCTTCTATCTTCTGGTGTGGCAGAATGAGAAGTTAAAACCTATGCCATCTTAAATAATTAATATGAAAAAAAAGTGGAGGAGCAACAGGTAATTCCAGCAAGACTTTATCCTGGTTGAGTCACTTATAGGATTAAACCACAAGTGGAAACGAATTGTCCCATAGAACATACAAATTTAACTCCATTTTAATTTTATCAGATTAAGTTAAAAAAGGCCTAGATAAAAAAGAGCAAGCACTACTAAACACATACTTTTGTGTATAAACACGATTTATTATCGTAACACAAAATGTTGCTATGAAAATTAAATATAAATCTTTCTCAGAGGAGTAAAATTGAACCCGCTTTAACCTCCTTTGTAATGTGTGCCAAAATAATTTCTGTGGTCTCTGATTTCACTTGAATGAAGTTAATTGTTTTATGCCCCAAAGGGATAAAAATAACTGGTTCCTTCCGTGTTTAGAAACGTGCAACACCTATTCTCTTCAGGAGCAAACGAGCCGCGGGTTCCCCAAGCAGACTCCTGCCGGACTGCAGACCCCTAGGCTCAGTATTATGATCTACAAAGACTTAGCTGCCACCTCCCCCTGAAGGGACCTGCTTGCACAGGGCTGGGCTCTCTGTGGGACCGTCTGATTGTCAAGAACCACGACTGTCAGCAAGAGTTAGTTCATGTGCCATGGCTGTACGTGATGCCTCTGATGGGCACATGCAGCCACGCCTGCAAAACTGCTGGCACAGGATGCTGTTCCTAAGCACCTACAACTGCTCCCCAGCCAGAGCACCTCGACCTGTCTGTCTGTCAACGGACAGCCAAGAGCCAATGCATTCACCCCAAATCCCTTTCAGAGATCGCTCTGGCAGGCACTGTCAGACACCGTAAGACTGGGTTTCCGACTCTCTGATAGTATTTTAAAGGGGTGGGATGGGGAGGCACACTAGCTAAATAACTGCAGAGCTAAAATACCTCGTTTCCCAGCTCAGAACCCAAAAGTGAATCTCCCACTTCCCAGAAGGGCACCCTCATCAGCAGCCAGTCTAGATTCCTACCGCAACTGTTTCCAGGCTCACAAAAGCATAAAAGAAGTCCCAGAAGCAGGAACCAGAACCTATGACCGCTCCCATCCTATACAACAACCCTAACCCCAATATTAGAAAAATATTCTACACTCCTTTTCTGACCTCAGATTTTTCATCTTTTCTTGCTTGTTGGCACAGATGTAAAAGGAGAGGTGAAGAGTATTCTGTCTCATCCAAGGACTAGCTTAAAACACCACATTTTTTCTAGCTGTAAACACATGACTCCTCCTCATGTTCTTAGAAAAAAACAGATGCAGGTGCCATGCTCGGGAGAAAGTATGAGCCATGGGCTGCATATGAATAGTAGCACTTGACTCAAGCAACTTTCAAAATCCTAGAAAAGGCTGGGTTTAGGAAACATGTTTGTAATTTTTCTTACTGCTAATACTAGTCTGCTCTTTGCACAGCATGCAATGTTTGCATCCTACCCAACACGCCTAATTCTTCCTATACACTGTAATTTTGCATTCTGGATATTAGAAACCTGAGTCTTGCTGTCTGTATAACTGAAAATAGCCCATATTTCTCAGATACTGTATTTATCCAGCAATATAGATTATAAGTAATACCTCAATCTTCAGTAAGCGGTGGAGGAACATATCAAATCTGAAAAACAACATCTCAGATCTGAAATCCCATGGTTTAAATTCCTTGCCACAGGTGAAGTAACTTTCCAATCTGTTTCTGTAACTAAAGAATGAAGCTTAAAGCTTTTTAAGGTAGTTTTAGCTATTTTCACATGCTCCAATGCTTCTTCAGTTTCTCCTTTGAAAAGATTTTCTGGTGAAAGATACAACCTAGACTAGAATGTAAATAAATGAACAGCAGAAGAAAAAGTTTTTAAAAAGTAACTTTTTAAAGTGTAGCCATGACATCAGTCATAAAGTTACTTTCCACTTTATATATGAACACAAAAAATAATATATATGTTTTAAAATTGTTATCTCTAACTATTCTCGTTTGTCAATTATCTCATAATAGAACTCTCACTTTTGAGATGCTCCCATAGTATGTTCAACCTGTTACAAATCCCACCAGCTAGACTGACCCTTACGTATCGTCTTCTGTACAGTGAACATTCAGGAAATAACAGAGTAAAAGGACTTTTCCCCCCCCAGTAAAAGTGATATTGGAAATGTATTCACCTCTTTGCCATAATACCTCCATAGCCTTTGGGTACTAATTCTCACATAGCATATGTTGTGCCAGCACATACAGAAGTGCCAACACAAGTCCTTCTAGGTTTTTTCATTTAGTAAATTAGCAGAAGAGGGCTTCCCCCAAACCCAGAATGAAACCTAGGACACATATGTGCCTAGCGTATAATTCTGGACAGGAACATGAATAACCTGAAAGAGAGAACCAGGATCCATAAATAATGCTGTCTGCATGTAGTAAGGTTTGGGCGGAGGCGGGGGGGGAGAGCAATGATGAGGACGGGACTATACGTTGTTTTTTGCTGTTCTTACTTCATCAGTTTATCCCAAACCGTTATAACTTACATTTATTACAGATTCACATCAAACACTTGATATTAATTTCTTTAATTAATGCAATGCAAGTAGGGTTGGCAGGGGAGGGGTGGGGGAAATAAAAACCTTTTCCTGGTCATAGTTCTCATTCTATTTCCCCCCTGCCATATTCTTCTACTTCATACTGCCACCCCTCCTAGGTACATCTTGCCCTCTCTTTCTCCCAGCCTTACAAACTAAGAATTATATACGGCTCCATCCAAACCTTTTGGCACCACTCCAAAACCTGCTATTTTGGGCTGAGACCAGAATGCACAAGTTCCATCCTTCATCAGTGCTTGCCTTCTAACAGAGAGCAATAATTTGCCAGGCATTCAGATTAATTTCAATGAAAGTTTTACGTTAGCCTGTTAACGTCCAGCTTAAACGCATGAGGAAGGAGACGGTGCAAAGTCAAAGAAGCAGCAAATGGGGCCTTGCCATATATAACAGATGTCTGACAAAGTAAAAATAAACAGGAGATCTGATAGCGTAGTGCTGTGTGACATGGGAAACACAATGGTTTCTTCAGATCAAGTTCCTTTCCCAAGCAAATCTAAGCACAAATCCAAGCATCCAGCTCCCATCCTGCGAGAGAGAGGATTTCTCCAGTGCACAGATGTTCACGCCACAGTTTTTTCCCCTGCAAAAGAGTGAAGTATCCTGTACCCACTCACCACTTCAATACTGCTGTAAGCCTGTAACAGAGAAAGCAGATTTACTCCTCCAGGTGCTCTCAGGAGGCTCCTGTTCAGTGACAGCCCTGACCCGGGAGTAAGCATGACCGGGGAGTTGTTTCTTGCAGGAGAAGAGAATCTGGTTGCTTCTCTCACTCCCTGGTCACAGGTCACCCTGGAAGCTGCATACTTGTCCCCTCAGGCAGGGGAATTCAGGGAGGGTGCCCACCTGCTGTTCCTAAGGGAGGATTGTGGTGGCCATTTAGAAAGTACAACAGGCTGGCTCTGAAGGGAATTTTCCTGTTTCTTGACCAACAGAAGTACCTCCAGAACCGTGAATTCTACAGAATGGCTTTGCTCGCCAACATTTAGAAGTTCTCATACTCCTACCAAAACAGCGGGTTTCACTGGAAGCACAGGGAAAGCTTATTTATGACAGGAGGACAGAAAATGCATCAAGGTGGCTCATTCACAGCTGGTTTGCAAACCCTGTATTTTCCTGATTTGCATAGCTCTTACCAGCATTTTGCAATTCATGAAAGGAAATACCTACCAAGAAATGTGGTAAGAAAAGAGGTAGCAAACTTATACCAAAAGGAGGAGGATAAGGAGCATCAACCCAACCTGAAAAGGTTATATGGCTTCTGAAGAATAGTTGTCTTTCACTAGACAAGAAACATATTTGATGCTTAAATACACAGTATATGAATGGTACAGCTGATGACTAATTATTCAGTTCAACTTCAAATTTAATAATCTAATACTGGTTGAAAGGATCTATAATGTAATTATGGTGTTTATTAGACAACTAACAGACAGATTGAATCCATGTCTTTCTTATTGGTGTACTGCATAGCAACTAAGATTTATTTATTAGGTACTTAAGTGGTTTACTACCCTTACTTGAAGCTACCTGGTCAATAAGCAGACTGCAAAATTCCTGCAGCAGAACTACTATTTGTGCAGGCATGCTGTAGAACTTGGAGTGGCTCCATATCAGGCAGATGGTGTGAAATAAAGGTGGGATTAAATTACGGATCTTTGGGAATTCCATCTCCCGAAAGAGCTGAATGTATTTTTCCAGTAGTCTCAGATACAGATCAGTATCTTGGGCTTCTACAAGTGCTGTAAAAATATAAAAGGGAAAAATGCTACAGCTTAAGAGATGATCATTTCCAAATTAACGTAGCCTCAATGAAGAATGCAAAGTTATCCTGTACTTATTTGAAAGAGAAAGATATGTAGGTTTTAGTGGCATGTTACAGCCAAAGTTTGCTTATGAAACTGCACAGCGGCTCTGCAAGTGGATAGGATGGCTCCCATTCCACTGCTGGTAGGTAAGGATGCTTAACAACTTTCTATAATCAGTCTGTTGTTCCTCCCACTGCTGCCAACCGGACTGAGGAGAAGCAGGAATCATTGCAGATACCCAGGTCATTGAAATGTGAAATTCTGCCTTGGAATGAAAGAAAAACATTCTGAAGCCTGCAATCATTTTAGAGACAGGCCAGGTCTGATCACAAGAGGTCAAATGATAATCTGTTAATACTGCTGACTAATCTGGCACCAAGAGGAAAGTGCATCTTGATGTTCTGGAAAGGGCTGTGTGCTCCACTGCACCTTCCAGTGTTATGTTCAATGCCTTGGTGTTTTTCGTCAAAGGGGGAAAGGACTCCACGTTTGCTTCAAGCTGGATGTTCAACAAACACTGACAACTTATTTCTTTTCATAGACTGTAGAGGCTTGTGCTATTTTGCCCTTCAGCAGAAGGCACAACAGGCATGCTCTGGGCTGCTGCTGGCATGGGATGACATGGGAAGGATTCACACTCATACAAGCAGTTAGCTTTGGGCTCTGTTCAACGTAGATAAAGTCTGTTCTTTTACTGCTCAAAACTTCTATTAAAGTGAAAGTTGCAGAGCAATGCCAGCCTCTACAGGTGGCAAGGTCCTGGTGAATAATGTCTTTCCATTGCCTGGTAGGTACTCCATACATCTCTGGCCTCAAAAGTTCAGAAGAGACCTGAAAATTTTTGCACTGTCACTGTAGACTATTTGTTAACTAAAGGCACCTGATGAACTATAGAAGTTTCAATCCTTTCTTCTAGTCATACATCAGCAGAAAAACTGTTTAAATATATTTCAATTCACTAATACAAAATTATCGCCCCCATCAAGAAACTAAAATTAACCACTGGGATTAAGAAAAAAAAATGTAAATGTGTGAGTACTTTAAGGTTTTATTTCAAAACTTTAACAGCGATCTTTAACCATGAGTAAAATAGGCAAGACAATACTTGTGAGTGTAAGCTGTTTGCAGAGCTAGTATCTCCTAAACTGAATAACACTATAGAAGAAGCTGGCATTTTATTATATTCCATTAAAGTTTAATTTTCATATACAAAGTAGTATATTAGCTAAATATTTCTTTATTGCTAACTGCCTTATTTAATTTCTTTTAGCAGCAGAATTTATCTATCTACATATTTACTGCAGCTAAAGAATCGGAAACAATGCTGAAAAAATGCACATACTAATTGATTTTGCTACTGCTATATCTCTCACCTATTTTTATGACAGGAAAATTATCCACATAAAGTTTAAAAAAAAACCCAAACGAGCCAGGTCAGCACACAAAGGAGCTTGATTTAACATGTATATGCCCCTGCAGCCCTGATATATCTCACCATCATGACTTACGCTGTTATGTCAAGACAAATTATAGATTATTCTGTAACACACACATATAAGCACAGACAAAATATACATCTCATTCATTCTACCCTTACCATCTTCTACTTCCTTGAAAATGTCCTGAGAAGCAGGATAATAGCTGCTTTCTTCGGCTTTTAAGATCTTAATCATTTTTTGAACAACAGGACTCTGAAGCTATAATTTAACAAAGAAGAAAGCAAGCAATTAAAGATCATGGTCACCTGTCAAAGGAGTAGAAAGAGTAGAAGGGAGAATTCAGGCAACTTACAGTTGCACTCAGAGAACTAATGAATAAATATGTCTCAAGTCTACTAGCAGATAAAGGCTGATCCATGCCAGCTGAAATCCATGGAAAGGCCCCAAAAGCTTTCAGTGGGGAATGAACTGGGCTCTTCATAATGCTCACTTACCTGACATCGCAACATCGCTAACAACAAGCATGGAAGAAGCAGAGGATTAAACACAGCCCCCAACAACATTTCATATTTGGAAAGTAAATAACCTTGCGCATCTTTTTCAATTGAAAAGAGCTGTTTCACTCGTAACAAGCTATGGTTATTATCATTAAACAACAGTATCAGTTTCATAGACAAATTTGGCAATAATTTCCCGAATATAAACTTTGTTCTCAACCTCATTTTCTCCAGAGTTTGAGAAATGTCATGGGAAGAAATTTAGAAAAGATGGACAAGAACAGCAGAATTCCTTACGGCTACATAGCCCTTCATCACTAACTTTCACTGTCCTCTAATGTTTAACTCTGCTTTTCTTTGGTAACTTATGCAAAGTCCGATTACTTTGGGAAACCACTAGAAGCTATTTGCAAAAATAAAACAACAAAAAAATCATTTTGGTGTCTCATTTTTCAGAGTGCATGGGGAAAGGCAAACCAAAAGAAAGTTCTCCTTGATGTTTATAGTAATACCTGAAATCACTTACTTGCTTATTTATATAGAAAACATTGTCTTTTCTTGCTTTCCAGAAGTTCAGCTCAGTTTGGGGGTCTGGATGAAGGCCATGCAGAAGAGGTTCAGCAGAATCCCTATTCACAGTGTCATGAATCTGATGTGACCACCTAATAACCATTGATTCAATAGCATGTAGTACTGCCCTGGAATTAGGATCTTGTCTGCAAAATACGAAAAAAGCCCCTGAATTTCAAAGCAAGTACTGTACTGTGATAGTACAGAGCTCTTCTCCCCCCACCCCCTTTACATTTAAGGATGAACAACACTGAAATTTGGAATTTAGTTCTGATAAGAGGAAAATCGTAAGAAAAAAACCCTGAAAACAGAGCTAAAAAGGCTGTTTATGAAGACACGGATCACACTTTCAGATGTATTTACTATTCAGAACCATAGCCAAACGCCCTCTCAGTAATTATTGGCAGCAGATCCTTTGAACAGTTCCTTGCAATTATTCCAGATGTGAAAAATCTGTATTTCACTGTTTAATTTTCTAATAAGTAAGTTACATGGTAATTTGGTGTTTGGATGAACGCTGATAGTTAACATAAATATTAAGTAGATTTTATTTAATATATTTTTTATTACATTTTGCCAGTGTTTACAAAAAGAGGAACTAACAACACACAGCAAAGCATTTTAATAACGTATTAATGGAACATTAAAGTTTACATTCTCCCTTTCACACTTTATTTTTTTCCCTTCAGTCCTTTCGTTTAAGCTAAATTCATCTGTTGTGCCTCAGTTTTAGCTCCCTACTTACTTACACTATTCTGCCTGGTACACCTGCTTCGCTGCCATGACATAAGCAAGGAGCTGACCCTGACCAGGGCCTTCAAAATCATTTATTATTGACAGGATTATAAATCTCTGCTTATCCAACAACTGATTATAAATCATGTCTGTACACAGTCAGTCCTAAACTGAAATCAAGACTTTGGTTTACTTAAACTGTGAGCTCTCTGGGACATAGCTCATATTATCGCTGTTTCTATAGGTAACAGATGCACATCCCAATGATTAGTGCCACGCTCCTTTTTGATTCCATCCTTTGAGATGAGTACTAATCTCAGCGAGAACAATCAGATGCCTTTTACGATAAGAGTTCAGTTCACATTAAACACTCAAGGCAACAAAGAAGTGCAATCTATTGGAAACACATTTAAAAGGTAATTCTACAGAATAACCCTATTTTGTACTCTGGAAGCATAGCTTCATGTGATTCAAAATCCTGGTAACTCTACAGACAGCTTAAGTCTTGCCTTTGAAATTAATAAACCCAAAATAGAAATTCTTGGAAATTCATGTTTTCATATGACAGAGCAATTACAGTGTTTAAAATATATTAATTGCACATAAAATACTTTAAAACACCTTTCGGTGCTTAGAAAAATGGAGTAATAAAAATATTATGTTTGGAACACTAAGTATTTAATTACTTTCTTGTTAATGCAATTTACTACCAGTTTACATCTGAGACTAAAAGCCACCAAAAGCAGTGTGCTTTTTGCCTTTATTTCCCCCCCCCCTCCTGTGTTGCACAGGTCACACAATAGTCTTTCCTTACTTATTTTCAGCATATATTTGATGCAAGTCAGTCTTTGCTGCACCTGTGGGAACAGGAAGATGAGTTCTTCCTGACATCAGTCCTTTCATAATTTGTGTTTTATTTTTCATGATTTCCACATGATGCTCCATATCTTGGGAAACACAACCTGGCCAGGACGTATGGTTTTCCTTATTGCTTAGAATAGGCACTAACACCTGGAGGCAAAGCGGGAGAAGTAACTTTACAAATCAGTAGCAACAGTAACTTGGCTATTGGTGGCATACTGCAAACTGCTTCTTTAAATCTGAGAACAAGCTAACCCAAGCCACACTTGTCAAACTCACAGCTATTTGAATCAAAATCAGCTTTATATTTTCTTTTTCTATCAACATAAATATGTACTTGAATTTCAGTCAGATTGTACTGTAGATGGAAATTATGTTTTGGGACGGTATTATTTCTCAGTCAGCTGAAATACTGAGCAGCTTCCGAAACTCAGAAGAAGTTTACACCACTTTTATCAACTCTCTCCTCCTTCCCTCCCTTATCTCAAAAAATAGAACGAGATTGGGAGTAGGGGGAGAGGGGATCAGGCATAGTTTCATATGACCTATACCCAGTATTTTCCTAACAGGAGAAACCAATCCTATTAGTAGCACAAACCCTCCTTTCTGTGGTTTAATAGCCACTAATATATACCATTTAAAGACGGCTTACTTGCAGGCTATAAACTCATATTTAAAATCATTTCCTAGCAACAGGCACCTGCAATAGCCTTTGGAAAGATATTTTTTCTGTGATGCAAATGCATAACGCTGATTATTAATTTTGTTCCAGTTCACACACTTATTTTAAATCCTTCAGCTTCTTTCACTACATAAACATTTCCTAACTTCTCTCCACTTTTTTTCTTAAACCATGTCAGTAGAGAGTTCTGCTCGGGAAAGCACGTAGGAACTTGAAGTATGTTACTATTTGTGCCGTTACACTTAAAATTAAGCACATGCTCAAATCAAAGTACTTTGCTGAACCAGGTCCAAGCCATAGACAGATTAATTAAAACTTCACGCCAGCATCCCAAGTGAGCTAAGTCTTGGAGGAATGTCTTCATCAGTGTATGGGCTTCAATCACTTCAGGCCCTCATAAGGCTCGAAGTATTTTATTACCAAACATCAAAATCGATGAGTAACCTTTGAGTTACAGAATTCAGGGAGATGGACCCTTGCTGTGAACTCAGTTTTAGGGCCCAGTGCAGCTAAAGATGTGCTGCTACATCCATACCACGTCCCATGGACTCCTCTCTGTGCCAGAGCGATTTACGAACAAAAAACTGAAAAATAACAGAAAGGGAAGCAATAAGGAAAATAGTGATGCAAGACTGCTCTTGCACAAGCAGTTACAAACTCGAGGTTCACTTTTAGGGTTCAGTGTTGCTTGCTTTGACAGTGAAGACATGAACAGCGCAAGAGCAGCCTCAGCATACCTGTTGCTTTGCAATTGTTACTCAACTGTGATGTGTAAGAAAGTGGGTAAAAAAATGAGCTAGAGAAGCTAGGATGAACAGCACAGTGCTTCTGTTTATCTGTTTTAACCATCAGCCCTCTCCCAAGACCTAATTTATTAGGTCCTGATAGAGTAACGAACAGTTTCTTCAGCACTTTGAAGCTCACACTCCTCCACCCAAGCCTGCAGCTGAGCACCGCCAGCTGCTTCAGAGCAGCGGAGCCCCGCTCCCAGGGCAGCCTTTCCTCCGCTCCTAAAAGCCTTCCTGAGATCTCTCATGTGGGCCAGTTCCCATCTCATCTGTGAAGAGGGCATGCCTTACACTGCTTGTATGCTCCCTAGAGACTCGTAAGGCAAACATTAATTTAATGAGTTCATTTGTGGCTTTATGAAGGAAGTTACGCTCCCTTAACATAATAAACCTCTTAAACGTCCCAAACTTCATAAATCTGATATGGTTTGGGTTTGCTCCAGTACAGAAAAGAGGAGCAAAAGTGACATTTTGGGGGGTTATTCTTCTGTTGTTGAACACTGAAGTCAGGGTATGAGATGTCACTGGAGTTTAGAGACTAGATTTAAATATCACGGCTATAAATGAAACTCCTTGTGTATATACTGAGCAAGCACTAAATTCATGTCAAAAACTCTAAACTTTCATTTGTCATTTAGTCTCTCCTTTGCAAAGAGCTTTAAAATACTTTAATTTTAAGATAAATTTTTAAGCACTTTTTGCTGAAGACTTTTTTTTTTTTTTAAAATAACACAGATGAGCAATACATGAAGACTGCAGTTATGAGATATTTAAGTTAAAAACTTTAGCAGGTGCTACTGCTGGGAAATTTTGGCTTCTCTCTGCAGAATATGCCAGTTAAGTAAACAGCCACAATAGTGCTACAGATACCGTTTGTGACAACCAAATCTTAAGGTATTTGTTTCCATAACGTCAAACCAAAGGAGAAATAACCCCATTCTCATTTTAAGCAGAAATACCTAAGCCAGCTGAATGCCTGTATCAGGTTTCACAAAAATCAGCTTCCTTAATAAACACAGATTTAGCAACAAACTGTGAACTTATTTGTCAACTTCCTCTTCTCTTTTCTTTATGCTAGTCACGATTTGCTCTCAGTCTTCTTCTCTTCCTTACTAATCTTTGAAAAAACCTTGACCTTTGCAAACTGTCCAACAGTGGATTTCAGATGCATTCAGGTTGCTGTGCTTGAAATCCTTCTCCTTTGAAGTTGGTGTGAGCTTTGTCACGGGCTTCAATCAGGAAGAGATTTACATCTCGGCAGGAGAGTTGCAGTTCTATCCCTGCCCCTATTCATAACCGCTGTCTCTCAAGATCAAACCACCGAGATAATGACCAGCCTGAATGCTGCCAGCAAAGTACTAAAAGACAGGAAGATGAAAACTATTCTTTTTGTCACTGCCATCAGTATTTATACACAGTATCTGTAATACTGCGGCATAAATGGCACACATTTATTCCCTTCTTGAAACATCACTTTTTCACAGAAATGCAGAAGTAACAACTAAAACTGCTCTGTGAAACCTGTTTGGCTGTCCTGGTCTTAAATCTGGGTTTCCTGAATTCCAACTATGGACACGAACCACTATATTGGTCTCTTCCTCAATCCAAAATTTGATCCTGGATCTGTAATTACAAAAATTTACCCAGAACTAGGGTATTTCCATTTAAAAACGTGTTATTTTGATGAGCCAACGCTTCTCAAAATTTTGGGAAAGAGTCCCACGTGATCAGGGTCAGGACCACAGGCATGACTCAGGACCTGGAAAGAACAGTACAACACTTTTACATCCATGACGTTGCCTTTTTGTACCAAGCGTAGATCCACCATCGGTTTAAAGCACAGCTTCAAATGCAACTTTAAGGGAATTTTTATCGCAAAGGTAGGAGTCTGATCTGCATTACAGTCTCTCTGTACTTTTTCTTTAAGTTATTCACATAGACTCAGCTACACTTCAAAATGCAATATTTCATGTTATTCCCAGAACTTTTACAAGACAAAAAAAAACCCCAGACCTTTTGCATCCAGCCCTAATTCTACTACACAGTGTTGTTAATAAAGCAAGAGGTTTCTATGCAACTTTAAGACATGTACACTAAAAGAAATTGCACATATATGAATTTACTTATGCCTTATTCTTTAAGACTATCTCATGTAAGTACTTGTTTTTATAGCTTAATCCTAATAACTCTCATAAGACAAGTTTTGAAACCCTGTATACGAATCTCTTATGATTTGCATTTCAGAAGCAGCACAATTTTGGGAAGACTGGTAGAAAAATAAGTACTACTTCTGTTTCTTACTACCTTCTTAGGAGCTTTCCTTCTTTATGAGCGGTAAAAGCCTTTAATCATGTGACTTAATAAACTGTTTTTACATCATATAGACGGCAGAGAGCCGATCTGAGGTGATGATTCCCTGTGTGCCTAACTGCTGGTGTGGTAGCTTCACCATGTCATTGCTCCAGAAGGAGAGGCGGTTAGTCATCACTGCCCACCGGCAAGTGACTCATTCCCCATCCTTCACAATGACGAACACTGGACAAGAAGTACACCGCCTATCACTGCATTGAGGATGGCTCTAGAGACCTGAGCGTAGGAAAGAATATATATTTCATGCTGTAAACAATTCAGATGACAGCAGTCACATCCATTATACAACAAGCAACAAAAAGAAAGCAAGAGCGACATGCTACACAGAACTAAGCCTCCAGCAACAAGCCATCTCTGATGAGTCTATAGAGAGTGGAGTAGCTACTTGTTTTAGCGTCACTTTTTTCCTTTCACAAGAGGTTTTTTGCATCAGTTGTCTCTGATGCTAGTTAAAATCTCATCCTTGGTTTTGCTGCTTTATTACAAGTATTTGGCTATAAATACCTCTTCCATGAACGCTACCGTATGCTCGAGTGGTATTTGAGACAGCTTCCCAAACTGAAGGTCCTTTCTGTTGTTCTCCATTCCAGGGCATTCTGTGGTCTTCCTCATAGCACTGACAGCTTTCTGCATCACCTCACGTGGCACCTGAAGCAAGTAAGATGCAGGTTATCAGTTTGACAGTGTCACTGTTGCACTACTGTTTAGACAGAATAAAGAAGATGAGGAGAGCCTCCGCTGCCCATCAGAGCTCTCCAACAACTGATGCATCACAGAAGTCAAAATCTCAGCATGTTTTGTTGGGACTGAGTGGAGAAAGCAAGATACATAAACAGGCAAGTTGCAAATCCAGAGAATGTTTTCCAGAACACCTGTACTGCATGAACGTAAATATACGCCTTAGTCTTCCTCCTAAACCTGCTTTTCCAGCTTCCCTATGGATGTTCATTGACCTTTTCCAAGCCTTTGTTAATTGTCCAAGCCTTTGGGCTTAGAAATAGGACCATGCAAATCACCTTTTGAAAACTATCCCTGGATACTCCATACCACCTTTCATCGGTGCCATATTTCAATATACATAATTGCATTTAGCCATCTATATTCTCTCCGCTCTGCCAAAAAGCCGTATATTCTCATCTTCCAGAGAGCCTGCTTTGTAGCTAACAGATGCGGAATCAGGGTCACGCTTCCAGACACCAGTGAGGTTGCATTTTAGGACATGAGAGGAGACTGCCACAGACATAACTCTGTACACATCACGCCTCCTTAAGTTAGTGGGAACCAAAAGAATATTTCCAACAGCATAATCTCACCGTAAGTTATGTATTCATGTCCAAAAATGAACTAACTTTTCAAAATCTTGTTTGCCAGAGCTCTGTATTTCATGACTTGGCGGCTGTGCAAGTTACTGTGAATTTCACTGCTTGCTCAGAAATTCAGAATCTGAATTTTCTTTGAAGCAAAATACTTTTAACCTACCTGGAAAAGTTAAAAGCCGTAACTGAGTACAGGCTGAACTGGCTGTAGCCTGGGACCATGCCGACAAGAGATCAGTTCACTCCGCCACACCAACAAGCACATACAGCATTAAGTGACCCTTATGGTTAGGTTGCAGCCCACTGAATGCCATCAGGCAGAAGGCTAAGAGGGACTGATTCAGCTCCTCAGCAGAGGAATAATCCCCTCAGAGAAGGTCAGCATGCTCCTGGCGTAGATCAGCAACCAGAGGTAAGAAGCAGCAAGAGTCCTGGCCGTAGCACAAGCATAACTTTGTCGGTAGAAGGAGAGGGGAGAGAAGGGGACCTATGCTATGTACAACTAAAGTTTTCACAAATTTTCCAGTCAGACACTACATTCATGAAAACAACTCATTTGCCACAAAGCATTTTAACCAGGACCAAGCTTTACACAGTTCTTACAGTTCTAGTTCTCAACACAGATGCCACAGAGCCAGTACGGCGCAGGAGAAATCAATGACCTTTGTCAAAGTAAATGGCACAGAAGATCTTCAAAACTACATACATTCAAGGGAGGGAAGGAAGGAGAGGACGGGAGGAAGATTGCCACTGTAAATCATCAGCATTTCTACCCCTTGGTTTCTATCACAAAGTTAAACTATTCTTAAAATGTATTCAGCTTATTTGAGAAGAGATACAGGTGCAGCCTCACGGTGATGCACAGAAGGGTTACACAAACAGTTAATTTTTGAGCCTGCTGGTCAAACCAAGAATTCGGAATCAGCTTGAGGTTTTGCCTTTTTTGTTTCGGGCTGAAACTGTATTTCACTGAGAGACGACATTCTCACCATCTTCGCTGCCGCTCGCTACGCTCTTCGGACTTTCACAATAACACAACCCTCGGAATTGAAAAAAAGAAGCACAAACGCGCTGCTTTCTCCCACTATTCACACTGGGCCGGGGAACAACAAAAACCTTCTAAATTCCCTGGAAAAAGCCCACCACGGTCCCAC